GTATGCCACAGAGTTGTTTTGCATAAGAAAATGAGCTGTTATTTTCCACCCAAGCAAAGTATGCCCTTCAGGTAAAACATTTTGATTTCAAGAATGATTTGTCAAAATATTTTACAGCATTCTGGGCTTCTTGTATACAGGATTTGCAAGTACTGTACAAACACAAACCTACATCAGAAGAGAATTAGGAAACAATTCACAAGAAAATCTGCAACCTTGAAGAGTTTCATTTAGTCCTAACTAGCAGAGTGTTTGGCACAGCTCGTGTCCTGGGTGAATACATTGTTATTTACATAGCATCAGACTTCATAAAACTTCCTATTTGCACAAGAAGCCTATATAGCACAGACGTATAGGACCATGTTGTGATCTTGAGCTTGGAGACAGGTATAAATTGCACCAGCACAACAATATATGAAAGATAGGCATTATGCCTCAGAAGGCTCTTGAACAATAATTCCCCATATGGGTCGTCTCTTGAGTAGTGCCTTGCGGGTTGTCCGTCCCGAGCCATGCAGTGCTACATACTGGATGAAAGGGAAAACCAATATACCGATATTCTTGGTTTCATCTTTTTGTACAAGACAATAGGAAGCATACTTCTGACTTCTCCAGTGTGCCCACACCCTAGTAGCACAGTCAAAGCATGCGTACGGTGTAGGAGAGCTCCTACTGAGTGCCCCACAGGGGGACAATCCACATGAGGATTTAATCCTTAGAAACCTTCTCTTCCTTAAGGAAAAACTGGAGTGGCATTAACTGCAGAAATTTAAAATGGGTCTGGAAAGTTGTGAAGAAGTGAGAGTTTCTAAAGTACAAGCAAATTGCATCATGAAGAAACGACATTTCAGGGCTGTTCTTATCTCAGGCTTCAGCTTAATCTTCTGTCCTGTTTGAAAATTCTAAATTGAATTGCACAGGATTATATTTCATGCTAGTTAGTTTTAGATACATTTCACAGAGAAGGCAAAGATAGAGGCTAGATTGTCTTGGTGTCTAGATAATCTCTTGTAAGGAGACTTATGAGGAGGTTAGGCAAACAGGTGCCATGTAGGAACGGAGAGAGAAAAGCTTTGGTATAAAACCAGAGGGAGCTTTTATGAGACCAGCCCTAAATGATCAGAGTACAAAAAAAGGAAGATGACAAGATATTAGCAAGAAAAAAGTAGGAATGGAAGCAAGTGGGATGTGGATAGAAGAAATCTATTTTTATCTTTGGCACAAAGCCACATAGGAGCTGAAAGGGCATGTGATTGAGGCATTTGACTAAAATGCAAAAAACAGAGCAGGATCTAGGACAGGCACCTGAGCAAGGCATAAGTTTATAAGCATATGAATCACTGAAGAGAGGAAGATGATTTTATGCAGTATTTTTTTTAGTTGAGGTCCTTTGACAGTATGCGTGGAAAGGAGAGGGAACTGCATTCAAAGCAGGAGTTAATTAAGGCAGGCTGAGCAGCTGGGGACAAAAAGGAGAGAAAAATTATCTGCCTTCTGTGAGTCACGTACAAGCTGTAGCATGTGTAAAGGCATGTAAGAGCCACATTACCGATCTCCTACTTCAGTAGAAGATAGAAATCTGTCTTTTTCTTTGAGATTCTTTATCTTAGACTTCATTCCTCGTTTCTTGTCAGTTCAAAAATTAATCAAGTTGTCTTTTGCACAATAACATGTCCCAAAAGCCGACAAAGACATGTGTATATGTGTATTTCCATCTCCCTCAAGTTAAACAAGAACAGCAGATAATAATTCAGCTAATTTAAAGCATCTAATTAGACCTAAGTATTGAAACAGGAGACAAACCTTTGTGCGATACGAGTCAACAGATTATTTCTCTCACACTTGGGTCTGGAGACTTCATGTATACAAGGAGTAAAGTGAAGTGTTTATGTAGGGTAAATTATTGTGTTGGTAAGAGGAATATTTTGAGAGCTCTTACTGCATGCTGAGTGGCACATACAAATCAAAAAAGCTGCTACATAAAATAATTCCCCAGTAAAAATACTTGCCCAATAGGCTTTGTATGTGTATTATTTGCACTAGGTCAGGTAAACAAGAGGATTGATATAACTATGGCATTGATTCTGCTAAAACTAGAGAAGCCCAATTATGTTCTCTGGCACTACTCTAAGGTTCATGCTATAAATACGTCTGTGCAGCGTTATCTCTTTGTCTGATCAGTCCTGTCTAACTCAATCCTGGAACAGCATCGCAGACGTGGACTAAATCTATGCTTAGTTCATCTTCCAGAATTACAGTAGAGCACTAAGCAGTAGAGCACTCATTTTCTCTCACTAAAAGGAGACTCTTCTAGAAAAAAAGCTTTGCCAGATAATTATGTCATTTCACTTTATCTTTGTGCTCTTCGCCTTCCTTTCTCTGAATTTATCTTGACTTTCTTCTTACAGTAGTTCCCATGGCATTAGTCTGCTGTAAATTCAGCTACGGTTTATAATTATCTCTGAAAAACATACATGCATAAATAGCTACCAGGAATATCTTATTTGTTTGTTTTCATTATAAAACTCCTAAGAGGGACAAGCACTGTCAGTACCACAGACTGGTGGTTTTGAGGAAGGCCTCCCTGGAGATAAGCAAAATTTTCCATGCGTCTGTGAAATGAAACAAAGGGCGCCTGCTGACTTGTATTTATCATTACAGACACTTTTGACTAACAGCTCTTTTTTTTGCTAAGAAGAAAAGGTTTTACTCAAGGTACTATATTTGTCATTTGTTTGGATTTTTGAATGGTATTAAATATACACTTTTTTTTTTTTTCATTTATTTCACCCATGGCAAGAGTAAAGGTGTGCATTCTCAGCTGGTATGAAGGAAAATAATCACACCAGAGGAGAATCTAGCTGCAAACGTGTAGGTCTTATGCCGGTGTTGCAACAGACCCACTGTTAATGCTCAAGAGGGTCTGTTCTCTAATCTGTTCTTTAGCAAAGTTAGTGATGCAAAGCATAGGAACATGCATATCTTAAATATCCGAGAACTCTGGCATCCAGACATTGTTGGTGATATTAGAGATTCCCTAATCCTAACAAGATTGTTTCTGGCAGAAATGATTCATGTTTAAGGGAGAGACAGCCAAAGAGCAAGAGCAAAAAGCAATCTATCCAGAAAAATATGTTGACTTCAGCAATGAAATTGGATTAGAAAGTTGCCTTTCACTGCATTCGCTCATTCATGTGACACCTCTGACAATGACAACAGGAACGTAAACAGTTCTTAAAAAAAAAGAGGCTGACAAGCTCCAAAGCTGCATTTTATACGGATAAAGACAACTGAAATGCAATATCAACCCTATTAAAAACATTTGATTTATTCCTGAACAACTGTGCACAGGTTCTGACTACTTCTACACTTAGAAACACTACGTGCCTAGAGTTTTGGGTTCGGGGAAAGGTGATGGAATAAATTAGTGAGGATCATACCCGCCTCATAGTTACAAATGTGTTTCCTGTCTATTCCCTAGGTAAAGCTAAGAGCTTGGAGATGACTCCCAGGTCATTGCAGCTCAGCAGCATTCCACGGTGAGTTCTGGCTTCTGTGCTCCCTTTACAGTACCACTTTTGATTGAAATGGCAATGATTACAGCTAGTACTGAATTTTAAGTGAAGTGAAGCCCTCATGTTTTACTCATTGATGTACTAGTGATAAAGTGAATCCTGGCAACCTTTTAAGTAGATCACTTCAGATTTATTGAAAGTTAGGAAAGCAGACACAGAAAATCTCAGGTCAAGTAGTTCATATATATACCCTGAATTAGTAATGGAGATAAAGTCCCATCCTCAGGAACTGTACCTCTTCATTTTGACCACTTACTGAAAGGGGAAGAAAAGGGAGAAAACTTAAATTCCATGCAAAGTGACTGAATATACAAGTCATGGTTACAGCTAAACCCTGCAGACACTTCCTAAACTGAACCAATGATTAAGATTTTAAGAATTGCCCTATGCTTCAAGGTATGTTACGTCAATTCTGAAACAAGAGGACAGGATAACTGTGTATACTGACCATGAAAAGGATGCGCATGACTTTATTAGTAAAGAAATGAAAGGGGAGAATGCTCATTCCTCCTCTATAACCACAGAGAGTATATTAATGACCGGTAGAACAGAAGGTTATTCTACCTGAATCCAAGAGTTGATAATTTTCAGATTCTTTTTCAAAATAAAAGGCAGAAAAATCTAGTAAGAAAGTTGGTATACCAAGAATATTTACAAATAAAAGAAAAAATATTTTATATATATACACACACACAACCTGATACATAATGACACAAATTGTGTTAAAATAGAATTCTTAGCCCTTTGTTGCTGCTTATTTGGTTGTAAAAAATTTGAATACAAGTATTTGATGGCAAAGCTAATCTATACAGCATAACTTAAATACAAATAACAGCACATGTAATAAGAAATCAGTACAAAATGTACCCCAAAATTAAATAGGTATTCTTATATTCCTCTTAAAATATGCAATAGCTAAATTTTAATTATGCAGTGGCTGTAGTTAAAATCTATGCAACTTTAAATTATACCTAATAATGTTCCCATGTGTTTTGCAGTATGAGAAAATACCAAAAATATTTTGCGCTTAGTGTAGGAAATATTGCAGAAACATAAATATGTGCAAAGGCCAGGTATATAAATTCTAACTGTGATGAAACTCTGTACTGAATAATACAGGCCCAGGATACACGCTGGATATTATAAAATGTCATTTTATATAATGTTTTTATGCAGGAAAGTCAGATTTTACCTCCAAATATGATTACAGCTCTTGCTTGAGTTTAAAAAAAATACTGTATGAAAACTTCATGTCATATATCTTGCCAATATGTTGCCTACTTCTCTATAATAAATGAGATTAATCAGTGGCTACAGAGTTCTGACCTGGTATAAGTGCATGCAACTTTGCTTTCCACTCATTTACACCTGCTAAGGATTTGGATGTTAAGACACATACGAGTTGCTGCAGTAGCTAGAATTTATGAAGGTTGAGTTTCCATGTTACCAAACGGTAAAGTCTGGTCGTACGCCCTGGAAATCATTGACAGTAAAAGATCTTGATCGTCTCCTAAGGGTAGGACGACTGGGATTTCTCCCCTTAACCAAATTTAAATAAGGATCAGATCTTAGGAAGCGTGGGTAGCTGTCTTGCTCCATCAGCCTGTAGACTGTGTTTTGTGCGGCATCAAAGGTGGTGATGATGGGCTGTTCAATATTCTGACTTGTGACTTCTTTGGTTTGAAAGTCCAAATTCACCTGGAGAATGAGGAAAAGTATTTCTTTAATGTACATTCATGCATTTCCTGTGTTATTATCCATAGCAATGATACTGTACTTTTTCTGATAAGTCTTTTCTGATAAGAGGACCTTGAACCCCTGATACAACGGAGTATTAATTAGTTAGTATGTTCATGTTCAGTAATGGCTGTCAGAAAGTCTTCACATATGTGTCATTGGTACAATTGAAAGATGGTAAAATAGAAGATAAAGTCTGACATTTGACTAAAAGTAACTTTCTAATAGTGATCTTGGTATAGTTGCAGCTGTCAGGCTTTGCAACACCAGACTAATACAGAACTCCCTCCAGTCTCATTTAGGGTTCACGTAGAACTTTGTCTCATTAGAATATCTTAGTGAATATTTAAAATTTCTGGTTTCTGTGTTGAGTTTTGGTAGTAGGGAGATGAGAAAACTCTAATAATTAAAATATTAAACCTATTTTAGTGGGTTTCTGGAGGCTTTAGATGGGAAAAGCATATCAAAATGATCATTTGTTCCACGTACCATTGCATTCATCCTGGGAAGATTTGGTCAGCATGAGAATTTTATTAAAGTGTCAGGCACCAATTTAAGCATGTTATTTTGAAAAATAAAACAGAATATATATATAAAAAAATTGTTGATCCACCCATAAAGTGACTTCTATAATATGGGGGGGGTTTGTCCCTGATATACACCCGTTATTTCCATAAAGCTAGTTAAAACAAATAGTTTAGATCTACGAACTGAAGAGAAATTAATGATGATAAAATGGTCCACTCATCAAACCTAAGATTTTAGGATCCTATAGAACTGTACACTCAAAAAGTTGTATGTAAAAAAGCTCTGCTGGACAAGTTAGCCAGACAGAAGCTGCGTGGTCTGAAATGAGATGCTGTTGGCTGGTCTTAGCTGCTCAGTTGAACCCAAGGAAGGAAGTCTCACCAAAGCCAACTGCTTAAGGTGAACAACAGCACCCACACTACATGCATAAAATCAAAAGTATGACAGATACAGATATTGTTACGTTAGTGTTAGTCAAAGTATGACTTCCACACCCTGTCCCCTCCCTAGCTTTCCCCCTGCTCATCTTTTCACTTACGTCAATCTCATAAGCGTTGACAGTATCAATGCTTGATGCCCAACCATAACTCATAGACTGAACAATTGGCAATGACAGGTTCTACCTCAAACAACTCAGAGGGTTGCTTTTTATGTAAGGTTCACCCCAAAGACATGCAGTTGGGAAAGAAATAAAAAGGGACATAGGTCTTTGAAAATGGACATTTTGTAGGAAAAGCAGATCTGAATCTTAAATATAATCTATGGGAATTACAGGTGGAAATTGCACCATTTTGCAATCCTTCTCTTAAAATGAGAATTACACCTTTTTTACCCTTGTTGCAGTGAAGTAGCAGTTAGCGTCTAACTTTTGCTATTCTGACAAATAAAAAGAATACAGGGGAAAAGGAGCATTGGCAAGTAACATATTTGATCTGCTCAAACCTGATAGAATTACAGGAAATAGTTAGTCCAAAGACCTATTGAAGAGGCTGATTGTGATTTCAGTAAGTTCATCATCTCTCAACCTGTTCATCTCCTTCCCAGAGCAGGCAAAAAATACTCCTTTTGCTCATTTATGAATTCTTTATAACACACGTCAGTAGCATGAAGAAATTGTAAATATGAAAACTTTTTGCACTATTATAGTAATATAAAAAGGCCTTAGTGTTGGTGAGGATTGACATATCAACATATTTTTGTGTATGTGCTGATAGTAACATACTGAGGATATGCAATTAGAGCTGGGGGATGGAAGGAGGGGGGTGGGTCAATCAAGAAAAGTTCATGCTTAAAACATAATTATTATTTTAAAGGATATGTTTATTTTAATAGTTTCCTCTAGTCTCTTTTAGTCTTTTGCCTTACTTAAAAGAAAAGCTTCTGCATCTCAGTTACATAATCATTTAATAGATAATTACTGCCTTAAGAGAAAGGGAGAATATGTTGTTCTAGAGGTAGCTTTAAATAAAGACAGATAATACTTTTTCACAAATGCTAGGTGGTATGTCTCATTGCAGATTTAACATTTAACATCACAATTTTTTCTTAAATATACCCTGCATATGTATATATATCCTTGCTTTACAGACCACTAAGAATCTCTGATTCCTGCAATAAAATACTTAAACTCATTCTCTACACTAAGAAGATAACATGGAGGGGTTATTGAAAGGCATATGGAGGACAGTGAGAATAACGTATGCAGTTGCTTCCAGATTTCCTTCCAGAGCGTTGACATTTAAGATACAGCCTTTTTACATCAGTGACTACATGATTAACTGTTGCCCCTTGCTTCTGGGCACGTGCTTTTTACGAGCAGATTTCATCAGATGCAGCTGTGTCAAATACTGTGTGCAATGAAGAACTATTTTACTGTACCTCTTTTGGAGCATCTTTCTGTATGAATGTTTCATAAATGGTCTTAGCTTTTGGCAAAAGTTCATGTGCAGTTTTGCTTTTCTTGTAATCCTCGCAAGCTATCCAGAACTCGATGTTCTCCTCGCTGAACTCAGTTTTCAGAAACTTCGTAAAGGCATCCAATCCAGCTATAGAAGGGAATGTTGAATTTCATTTAAAAAATACATCCTTATCAGACAGTTACTCTTTTTACACAGTCTGTGCAAGGTAATAGAATAGGTTGTGCTCCCTTTGAATTACATCACATTATAGATAAGTATTTTAAAATACATAAAGGTTTTTAAATAAAGGCAGTTCTTTCATTATGATCCTGAGTGCTGTAACTCCCATTACAGAATTCTCAACATCTGTAAAAATCCACTACCAAGATCGTGTGAATTCAGAAATAGAAGCAATCAAAACATTTGGACGTATGTGGAAGTGACAGACTTTATTCTGGCTGAATATCAATTTAGGTTGGCTGAAACACTGTTTGAATCTTTGCTCATAAATAGACTGTTCTCCGGTAACAATTGAAAATGAATGGCTTTTAGCATCTTTACAATTTGCGTATTGTTATTACGCTGAAGATACTTTCTTTGCCAAGTATGCTTAATCTGTGGAAGTAATGCAATTGTATTGATGTCAACTGTTCAAGGAACGGATTTGAAAAGCACATAGTGTCCAGCACTGTGGCTGGATCATATGCATGTCCCTCCAAAATGGAAGGAGGGACATATGTGCATTTGATAATTACGTAAGCAACAGGCTCTTTCAAATGATGGCCAGCCTTGATCCTATCACTGTTTTAGAAACAAGCTCTATCAGAATTGACAAAGTCTTTTCCTAAGTACATAAAACATGTTTTCATTGTTAAGGTTTGGTCTTGCAGTCAGGAATATTTGAGTAATATTCAAATGAAATTCTACTGTTTATTGAAGGAACTCTTTGCTGTCTGTTATACTACTTTGTTCAAAAACATACAAAACTTAAAAGTTATTTTCAACTATTTTCAGTAGTTGACAGCATCTACAGCCTAAGCACGTGAGGAGAGCAGAAACACACACTGCAATAAATGACCCACCATACCTAATTTAGGTAACTGCCAGTTCTGTTTAGGTGCACAACTGGATTTCTGTAATTTGCCATCATTTTTCATCAATTTTCCATCCTAACAGTTTGCACAAAGAGGAAAAAAATACTAACCTTTCTCAGAAAGCAGTTTGTCAAAAGATTCTCCCCATTTCACTGCTTCTTCAGGAGACACACTGCTTAAGAAACAGAAAGTGGTTTTGAAGAATTGTGCATATGATGTATATATGAAGCCACTGTAACATATGTTGTTGTAACATATACAACATTACACAACATTACATGTTGTAATGGCTGTTGTAACATACGTTATCTGATATCTTTATTGCTCAGGTCTGTTTCACATAGCCTTTGATTAAATCCCATTACTAAAGGAGCTCATTCTCTCAGGGACTTCAGAAACATTTGGTTTAATTTTTTGCTGACATTTTTCGTGCAGAGTTGTAGTTTTTTCCACTGTTTCAAAAACCATCAGAGCAGAGATTTTTCTCTTTGGTATTTGTGTTGCAGTACTAATATTTAAGGGAACTGAGATCATGCAGTATGGTAAAACTCATAAGGGAACCAGGTCAGTCACCTATTTAAACTTAAAAAATACTCTTGCAGAGATGTGGTTTTGAATGCACTCAGTCTAAGGCTGTGTTACCACAGTGCGTTTTTAATGAAACACGGGAAATTCTATAGCCTGAAGACAAAGATGCAGCAATATGGTTGAGGTGATAGTCTTATAGGGCAATAGCACATGTAGCCTGGTTTGTTTACCACAAACATATTTCAAATGTCATGTTATTCTGAGACACTCTGCTCCATTTATAGAACTCCGTGTATTCTTCACCAAATATGTCAAGTTGTATTTTACTTTGATTTCAAATATTCTGCCCCAGAGAACAATGCAGAAGGGAAAAAAGACCACCCTGCTTCATTCAGGCAAATACAATTTTGGAGAAACTCTTTTTTGGTTTTGTATAGATTAACCCTGAACACACACCTGGACAGTACTTCGATTTTTAGTAGACCAGAACTGGAGAAAGCCCAGAGCTGAACTGTATCGTGCTAGGACTAGGACTTAAGTACCAAGCCTGAAGGTGAAGTCAATTTTTACCAGGTGCTTTATGAATATTAATATTTAGAACCATTTTCATTCAAGGGCAAAGCACAGTACACTGAAAGTATCAATAAGCAACTTGTCCAGGGTTAGTTGGTTAGAACAACTTCTTATGGTCTCAACACCTCTTGAATATGATTCCACTTTGCTCGTAGAGGCTTGCCGTTCTGTTGCCTTATTCACATGGTTTGGGCTCCCTTGGCAAAATCTGTAGACACGTGAAGTTTAGAGGAAAGGAAATTCCAATCACTTTGGGAAGGAATTTAAGGCAGTAATGATCTTGGTTTTGCACAAAACTAAAAGGAAGATTTATATTTTTTTTTTTAATAGGTGTCACATGTCTCCTAGATGAAGTCATTGCTTATAGGAACGAAATTTTTCACTAGGGAGAGACAAAGGGTTCTTGCAAGGTACAAATACTGGAGAACTGAAATTCAAGAAATGAACATAGGCCAGCAAAGTAGGGGCGTTCTGGAGTCAGGGAAAATGAGGCCTCAGTCCCTTACAGAATTTTTTAGTTATGAGAGCTACAAAAAGTATAGTTCTCTGAACTGGGTGGACTTCTAAATCTGGGAACAGTGGGTTCCTATAGCTACAGAAGTTAATTTGGTCATAGAGAAAGATAAACCCTGATGACTTCAGAAAACATACGCAGTCCACAATTGCACAGAATACCAGAGAGGTTCTTTGCTGGGTTTGGAAACTCCTAGTGTGAATTTCTGATTTTCCTTCAGAAACTACATCAACCCAGTAGCCTCACAGATCCCCAAGATCTGGACACAGTAATAAATAGCTGCAATAATATACAGAAACCAAGATTTGTTCAGCTTTGCCACTTTCTAAAGGTGAGAAGAAACTAGTTAACAGGTCATTGGCCTTTCCACTACCACCACACTGTCCATCTGCAGTTTGATTAAATTCTGTTTCTACTTATGTTAGTTAGTAGCTCTGTGAAGAATGGAAACTGTAAAAACTAAGTAAATCACTTAAATAATAAATACCAAACTGTTATCTCACTTTATTATTTGAAAAAGGGTATTTGCTTTTTTCTTTTTTTCCCCATTTTCTCTTTCACTGAAAATAATTTATGTATCTCTCTATATAATCTATATATAGAGAAAGATCAGCAAAAATCTACCAGTTTCTCTTCTATACAATAAGAACTGCAGAATCCCTGTTAGTCAAGCACCTGGCTGAGAGTAACGTGGTAAAGGGCAGTTGGCTGAGTGAGAAAGTGATGGTCTGGTGGAAGAGGGAAATTCTTCAGAGAATTATTTATTGCTATTCTAGCTGCCTCAGAAAGCGCCTTTTTACAGATGATAAAAATGCACTGATGGCTGTGTACTTTGTATGAAATACCCAAGGGTGATCAGCCACCCAATACTGTCTGCATACAGGTGGCACGGAGGCTGTGCTTTCTCTTTTTAGATGCAATCTTAGCATCGTTTTACATGTCTGGAATGGAGACACGGAAAAAGGGTGTTGTCGGCACTGTTCTACCTTTTTGTTCATCATTGCAAGGTCTTGTATTTCTGAATGAACTCTAAAACCACTGAATTAAGAATACTACCAGCAGCAAAACAAGAATAAAAGAAAGTATTGAAGCCCCCGCCATGAGTGTGGAGTGGAAAGTCTTTCAAATGATGAGTACATCATCCTGTCATTTGGATGGGCATGATATTTGGACATGTGAGCAACAAACATTGCCTAATTATCCAGATGTGTATGTGTGAGTGTTTCGATATCCATTTCTCGGTCACTTTTTCATGGGTTCTAGAAACAGAGTTTGGGCCTTTATGCAATTTACACTGTGTGTTCACAATTAGTAAGGGCTTGTAGAAGCAGTTCTGATCAAAGCAGGCATCTTGGTCCCAAAGATAGTAACTGCTTAAACAAGGTTCATCACGCTTAACAAGACAAAAAAGCACGGGGAGCACTGAAGTGTTTGGAAGCGACCTGTGATGGAAAGAAAGGGGCAGCAAATTTTCTAGGCCATGGAGTTGCAGTACTTTACGCATTCTTTCTTTCCAGTCAAGACCTACAAATGCAGTTCTTAATATATCAGTGAGATCTTGGGACCCCACTGAAGTCAGGAACTAAGCTTTTATTAAAATCAACAAAACCAAGATTTCACCCTGCATCGTCATGAGAAAAAGTCTAACGGGTAGTATTACAACAGCATTTAAACATCAGTATCCAAATTTTGGAGACAAGAGTCTTCAAACAATTACTGCAATTATTGAAGAACTATGCAGTCAGTATTTGACATGTATCTGACATTTGTACATCGCAGAGTTCTTTGGAAAACCTGCTTTCCAAGAACCTGTATGATTTCCCTGTAAGCAGTAATTTGTCAGCTAAATTTCTGAGTTGATGCTTGCTCAATATAGTCAGCGGACTAATAAAAATGCTGTTGGCATGAGCAAAAGTTTAAATGTGTCTGCAAGTGTATGAGGACCAGTCTACACTTAGTGGTATGAAAACACTAGTGGTGAGTTACCTTGATGCATACCAGATAATTCTATAGCATTTGTATGCTTGGGCTAAATTGCTAATTTCTAAATTAAATACATCTTGAAAGCATTATTCTCTGCCAAGTCTGAATGCACACACACAACTGCAGGAAACGTTCTGAGTCACACAGGCACTTCCTGAAAGGAATCCCCATCGACTCAGTCTTTTCTAATGCTTACCTTGCCGCTTTTGTCAAGTTTCCGGGTTTACCAAGATGATCACCTTCATGGAATTCAGGCTTCTGCAGGAGAAGGCTCAGCCTATTTCTCTTCTGCTTAGCTCTGTAACAGAATTATGGTAGCTTTTCAAGCAACCTTGTTGAAAGTTGTTTTGGTTTTTGTTTCTCAAACATTTCCTCTGACTAACATCTCTGCTTCAGTATCATAGATCCCCCTATGTTCATTTACAGTAATATTGATGTTACTTCTCCTACATATATTATTCCCGTTCATTACTTTTTTTCTTATAGCTTAGCGCAAATTTACATATGAAGAACTAGCAAAGAGAAATGGAAATATTTTCATTTTCAGTACCATATATTTTAAAGATGAGGGGGTGAAATTTCACATTATAGAACATAAACAGCCGGCTCAGCATCTTCCACTTTTAATGTTTCGCAAAGAAAAAGGAAGTATTTCTTCCTGTCATTTGAAATTTGTAAAAAGAAACTTTCCCGGAACATATTAGGGCTTTAAAGAAGCATTTCTCAGAACTTCTTGAAACCTTCCTTTTCTATTTTCTTAGTTTATTATTTTGATATGGGTTTTGTTCTTAAAAAATATTTCCATGATGAATTAATATTTTATATACACAGTTCCTAGGCTTGCAGTTTATGAGTTTTCATGTATATTGGTCAAAAATGAAACAACCTGTGCTCTAAATTCATACTCACAAGCTATGTTAGAAGATTCCTCTACGTAAACAGAGCACTCAGAATGTCAGCATGACCTTAAAACTTACCCAGGCTTGCTTGCTTTATGTGGCTCTTCTTTAATTGTTGGTTTCATGACTTTGTAATAGGATTTATCCTTTGAAGCAGAAATGTTTAGTTGGGGGAATAAAAGAAGTGGGTTCTCCATCTTCCTCCAAAAAACCTTCCCAGTTTCAGAAAATGTTTCCCTTACTTCCTTACAGCAGTTGCATCTGGCGTAACTGATGTGCTCAAGAGGGCTCTCACATGCTGTATCGGGCTGGGTTGCCCCCAATTGGTCGTTGAGCAGTTTCCAGAGCAGGTAGTGGGAAGAAGGAGGTTCTCCACCTTCACTGCCACTGCAGCTGCACGTACACGGGACTTTAAGTAGAGCTCTGGTTTTACAGTCGTCATTTAGGGAAGTGAGATTGCAACTTTGCAAAATGGCCGTTGATCATCCAGACAAACACAGCTAGCAGCAGAGAGCAACTCCCGAGTTTCTGCTCGTGGAACTTGGTATTTTACTAGAGTTAGGATGATGCCATCATTTTCCCCAAACACCTGCAAGAAGTGTATATAGTTTCCCTAAAATGAATTCTAATGAGAATAATTCTGCATAAAATAACATGCAACATTGTCTTAAGCTCTTAGAAAAACTTCTAACTGACCTTAAACTGCCCTCTACAGGCTCAGGTGCCCTATGCTGGACACAACATCGATTCTATCTAACAGTATGTTAACTTGAAACTTGGGGGTTCTCAGTGTCCTGCCAGAGTCAGATGAAACTGTGGTTGATCAGATACTTTGTAAGTGGAGATTTTAGGTTTTGCACCATATATCAGAAATGATGAGCACCTATTTCTAATTTCAAGTTTGTTCACTTAAAGCTCTTCATTTATCTTTTCTGTGGCTTTATTTTAATTTACAATCTCCCAGCCAGGATAAAAAGTCTTTAGTTCAGCACGAAAATTTGTGATTTTTTTTTTTATTATTTTGAGAGTAAATATCCCAAAATTTCACATTTCAGTTTGCATAATGTAAAAATGTATTAATTTCTTAGGCTGATCAGCACAAATTACCTCTATATATACAAGCTTGATGTCAATTAAGTTTCTCATTCTTAACTAGAATTTGTGTTGGAGATGTCATAGGAACAATACATCTATCAAAAAACCCTCTTCAGTGTCAGCTGAATGAGGGGCTGCAAAAGATTAAAATTATGCAGTAGTTAATTATTAATTAAATAGTCCTCCTTTTTTTAATGTCAATGCTTTGTTTTAATTATTCAGTTAATAACCGGAGAAGACATGACTCCATCACCTTCCCACAGCTTTGCCCAGTTCTGCACAATTACTGCAACATGGGTAAGTTCTGGTGAGAGTCCCACCACAGCCTTTTTTTTGTGGCTTGCAGAACTGAGGAGAACGGAACGTACTAATATTTGAAAGAACAAAAAAAACCCCCAAACTGCTGGGACACCAAATTCCTGAAACATAACAAAAAAGATGTTATCTGTTGTGATTATTTTTTTTTTTAAGAGAGAAAAAAAAATGAAAGAAAACTCACATGTATTACATGTGTCACATGTGTGACCCAAATTTTAAAATCAGACTAAATGGGAAATATTCAGTGCAAAACTGCCTTTTATGACCCAAGGGCCTTTAAGAAGCAGGGTTATGGTTTTAAATTGCATTTTCAGTTTCAGAGTAGGCTTATATATCACATCCTGCTTATTTTAAACTAGCTTTAACCCCAGCTGTCTTTAATAATATATTCTGCCTTTTACCAATAAGTAAATAAATATAGAATGCATAATTTTATTTCATTTTTCTGCAACAGTGGTAGTCAAGTGAGCTTTTTTTTCACCTATAATGTGTATATAATACTGTTTGTGTTCATCTGCCATAGTTTTATGACCTGGTGATTTCAGTTTCTGGAAAATGTTAATTGTAGCCTCAATAGTGCATATAAGCTATTTTAAGAAAGACTTGTAGCATGAAACGTCACTCAGAAGTGAATTATAGTGTACTTGCTGCTATAGCATGTAATTTACAGATGGAAATAACCAGTTAGTCTCACCTCTGTGCCTGGCAAGATCATGGAGCAGATCCTCCTGGAAACTACACTAAGGTACATGGAAAATAAGGAGGTGATTGGTAACAGCCAACATGGCTTCACTAAGGGCAAATCATGCCTGACAAATTTGGTGGCCCTCTCCAATGGCATTACAGTATTCATGGATAAGGGAAGAGCAACTGACATCATCTACCTGGACCTGTGCGAAGCATTTGACACTGTCCCACACAGCAGCCTTGTCTCTAAATCGGAGACACGTGGATTTGACAGACAGACCACTTGGTGGATAAGGAGTTGGCTGGATGGTCACACTCAAAGAGCTGCAGTCAACGGCTTGATGTCCGAGTGGAGACCACTTACGAGTGGCGTCCCCCGGGGGTCAGTACTGGGACCGGCGCTGTTTAACATCTTTGTCGGCGACATGCACAGTGGGATTGAGTGCAAGTTTGCTGACGATGATGCCGAGCTGCGTGGAGCGGTTAACACACTGGAGGGAAGGGATGCCATCCAGAAGGACCAGGACAGGCTTGAGAGGTGGGCCCATGTGAACCACAGGAAGTTCAACAAGGCCAAGTGCAAGGTCCTGCATGTGAGTTGGGGCAATCCCAAGCACAAATACAGGCTGGCAGAGAATGGATTGAGAGCAGCCCTGAGGAGAAGGACTTGAGGATGTTGGTGGATGAAAAGCTCAACATGAGCAGGCAATGTGCGATCGCAGCCCAGAAGGCTAACCATATCCTGGGCTTCATCAAAAGAAGTGTGGCCAGCAGGTCAAGGGAGATGATTCTGCCTCTCTACTCCACTCTTGGGAGACCCCATGTCTAGTTCTGGGGCCCCAGCATAAGAAGGATACAGACCTGTTGGAGCAGGTCCAGAGAAGGGCCATGAAAGATGACCAGAGGGCTGGAGCACCTCTCCTATGAAGACAGGCTGAGAGAGTTGGGGTTGTGCAGCCTGGAGAAGAGAAGCCTCCAGGGAGACCTGACAGCAGCCTTCCAGTACATGAAGGGGGCCTACAGGAAAGATGGGGAGGGACTCTTTATCAGGGACTGTACCGATAGGATGAGGGGTAATGGTTTTAAACTGAAAGAGGGCAGATTTAGATTAGATATTAGGAAGAAATTTTTCACTATGAGGGTGGTGAAGCACTGCAACAGATTGCCCAGGGAAGCCATCTCTGGAAGTGTTCAAAGACAGGTTGGATGGGTTCTACTAACCTGGCCTAGTGGAAGGTGTTCCTTGCCAATGCAGGGTGGTTGGAACTAGATGATCTTTAAAGTCCCTTCCAACTCTAACCATTTTATGATTCTATGAAATGACCCGTTATGTCATCTCTTTCAGCACCCACAACAATGGGCTCTCCCCAGCGTACATCTGAATGGCTTGTCCAATCTGCTCTTAAATGACCCTAAAGCAACAGGTGTTATGTCTTAGATGCTTGAAATATTACTGTACTATACCGTGACAATAGTATCAGTCCTGAATGCAGCAATGTGCTGTGCATCTCCTGAGAATTCATTTGGTTTGGGTTTTTTTAGGGGGTGGAAGGGAATAATTGCAAACAATCTCTTTTTTTTTTTTCCCTCTTCTTTTTTTTTTTCCATTAATAGAAAGCTAATAATAAATCCAGGCCCTGAAGTAGCCAAATTGCATCAAAATCAGTCTGTGTTTTGTCAACTATGGTGCTGGTGTTAATAAGTATTTCTGTTTTGCACTGCAGGCTACGGTAGTTATAGCAACAGTATTAATGACCCTATAAATGCTTCTGGGCTGTTTTGTATACTGCAAGATGACGATATAGAAAAATGAATAAGTTATTTTAAGCCAGAAAAAGCAGACCCGGAATATTATGTTGATGACATGACTAGAGACCTAGAAAGCTCTAAAGAAATTTAGGATGAGAACCGAATGTCCTGATTCCCAACCATTTCTCTAATAACTGATATATATATTCACAAATCTTTTGGGAAGGAGACTAGTGATTTTTAAGCCCTCAAATCAAGCTAATCTCTGCAAAATGAGAGCAAAATTAACTTAATGATTTATTACTTGTAGAAAAGAATAAAGAAATTTTTCAAGAGCTTTCATAGTTAGATGAATAGAATATGTATTTTCAAAAGAATTTTTATGTGACAAAAAAGCAAAATTGAATAGATTTTAAAGTGCAGGAAGTTCCTTGAAGTGATGTCCTGATCTCTTTGGGCCTGTTCTTCAGTTGAAAAGTGTCTGCACTGGCTTCTGCTAGTGTTTGATAGGGTCCTATCGCAGCTGATGATCGAGTAGATTGACTTGTGTAGAACCAATAGCTGCCCTCTGTGAAAGAAATCTTGACTGATACTATTAGCAATAAGGACATTGCATTATACACTGAATATGTCATATTTCTTTTTTAAAGGTAAGCGCTGAAAGATTCAGACTTTCAATTCAGCTGAATAGAAGTGAAACCCCGAGTGAATGGTTCAGCTCAGCACAGAGACCTAGAGCACAATGTGAAGTTCTCCTTTGTTAGTGATCCCACTGCATCTCTCTTCAAGCTGTTTTTGTTACTTGCCAGGTAAGTGTAAACTTTGCCTCTTTCATGTCCATGCTCATGTTCTAGCACTGTCCAGGCTCCTCCACAACTCAGCTCCACCATTGTTCTTATTCAAATCCACTTTTACCAGTATGGCTTTTGTGGGGTTATGTTTGTTTTAGTTTCTGCTGAAGGGAAGCGATATTCATCTTTGTGGGAATTAAAAAAAAAAAAAAAAAAAAGCAAGCAACACGGTCTCTTTGCTGCCCTGTGAAGAATAAACATGGAAATAAACTTCACTGAAGAGCATGGGCTGCAAAGATCTATTTCCTTATTTCTCTTTCCTGTAAAGGGATTTGAAAAGTCGAAAATTAAAATTACATGTTTTGAATTAATTTGGCTTCAATAAATAATTCTGCTGCTTTTCAGTAACTTCTTAACAGTTTATCACTTCTCAATATTTATGTTGTTTATTCCTTATTGGAAACCATAATTAGACCTACAGTTTAATAATGATATGATCCAATATATGGTTGTTTTGTTTATCTTCAGATAAAAAAAACCCACATTTTTCCTTCATAAAGCAATACCAAATGGAGAACAGTTTTATTGTAAATCTCAAGCAAAGGAGATTGCAGTCTGCTAATTCAGTGAATTTCTTTAATGATGCACTTAAAAGATTCATCCTCATGGAGGAATTTGGCACGTGGGGTACTTCAGAGTTAGTGGAAGGGAAGCATTATAACACCTCCACATAGTTCACATAACCCCCCCTTTTGTG